CCCCTCAGACTTATCTGTCTGTGTCCATCATCGGGTATATATATATATATATATATATTTAATGGGCCCGATATTATTACAAGCGGTATTATTTTTAGGCCCAAAAAATAAAATAATTTATTTAATATATGTCCACGTGTAATATTTTAATAGGCGAGGCCAAAATTAGGTATCAACAGGGTTGTAGGCCAGTTATTTTTCTTGATGGTTGCCACATTAAAACTGCATGTGGGGGGGTTCTTTTGGCAGCAGTTGGAATTGATAGGAACAATTGTATGTATCCTTTTGCTTATGCTGTGGTTGAAAAGGAAAAGACAAAATCTTGGTGTTGGTTTATTGAGTTACTAGTGCAGGATTTGGGGATTGAAAATCCCTTTCATTGGACAATCATGTCAGATAAACAGAAGGGGTTGGTTGAGGCAGTTGATAAACTTCTTCCAGCTGCTGAGGTAAGGTTTTGTGTCATGCATTTGTATAAGAACTTTAAGCTTGCACATAAAGGCCTAGCCCTTAAAAACCTGCTTTGGAAAGCTGCAAGGGCCACCAGGGTTGTTGATTTGAAAATACAATGAAAGAACTGAAACAGAGAGATCATGATGCATATGATTGGTTGGCTGGAAAGCCTCCTTCCCAATGGTCAAAATCCCATTTCAGCACTCATTCTAAATGTGATTTTTTGTTGAACAACCTGTCAGAGTGTTTCAATAGCATGATTTTGAGGGCTAGATCAAAGCCTATAATCAGCATGCTAGAATTTATTAGAGTGATGCTCATGCAAAGGATGCATAAAAGAAGAGATATGATGTTGAGGCATACTGGGGACCTTTGTCCTAAGATTGAGAAGATACTTGAGATGCATAAGAAAAAGGCTATGGACTTCATACCACACTGGAATGGAAAAGATGAGTTTGAGATTGAGAAGTGTTTTGGCTCAACCAATAAAGTGCACCTTGGAGACAAAACAGGCAATTGTAGGAGGTGGCAGTTGAATGGAATTCCATGTTCATATGCCATTAGTGCCATGTATTACCTTGGGCATAAGCCAGAAGATTATATGGATATATGCTAGAAAAAAATACTTTTTTGAAGGCATATTCCATTATGATGGGAGCATTGAATGCTGTTGATCTATGGCCCAAGGTAGATGTCACCCCACTTATGCCACCAGTGTTCCAAAAGCTTCCAGGAAGACCCAAGAAGTATGCTAGAAGGAAAGAAGCAGATGAAAACTGTTCCCAAAAGTCTTCTCACACACAGACAAAGGCATGTGGAATTAGGTTGAGAAAGAAAGAAGCTATCATGAAATGCAGTGGGTGTGGAGGTGGTAATCACAATATTAGAGGTTGCCCAAGTGCTAAAGATAAAAGGGAAAGGGAAATCCCAGCTGCACACGAGATTAATGCCCCCAGTGGACAGGTATATCTTCACAATTTGTTGCATTTTGTCAAATAAATTAAATTAAATCTATGTTCATGTTTGTCTTGTTTTGTTTCAGGTCAAGAAAAGACCATTCAATGGAGATGGAAAGGGGAAAAAACTTGTAGCAAAAAGGAGCTCCAAGACAAATATGGAAAGCAATCAAGCAACAAGTTCTTAGTTCATTCAAGAAGATTGTAACTTTTGGTTTTGATGACTAGTGAAGTTTTTTTTAGTTCAGTTGGAAGCTAGTTTTGGAATGAGAAACTATTAGAATATTGACCTATGTATCTGATTAATGTAAGCTTGTTTCAAACACTTGTGATTGTACTTTTGATTTTAATGCAATGCAATTGGTGAAGCTTTTGAGTATTCAATTTTACTTTAAACCTTATGATAGTTTCTGAATATTCATGAGAATGATACATGGTGTGATTTGAGGTTTTTGTGTATATTTGAGGTTGTTATTGTATTATGGTGAAGCTTGTTATCTATACTATTGAAAAACTATCCATTTGAGGTGTCTGTGTAATAATAGGAAACGCATTCCCTTAAAATGGATAGATATATATTCATGTTTTTGTCATGAATCTAAGAACATGCATTTAGGTTTTTAACTAAGTCCATTAAATTGCTTCTATGTTCATGTTGCATTGCATGCATATAGACATACAAGAATTTCAAATGAATAAGCTTTGTCTCTAAACTGATTTCCTATTTTATTCTAAACTGATATGGCACTGAAAACCAAAACCTTTTTTAGTTTTGTTCTTGTTCCATATTCATTACAAAGTAATCATTTCTGTTGTGAAACGATGACAATACGAATTAAAGACGAGAAAGTGAACAACACAAGATTTACGTGGTTCGACAATGTGCCTACGTCCACGGCAGAGGAGTGATCTCTTATTATTCTCGATAATTCAAATACATCAATACACCATGTATTTATAATATAACCTTACAAGGTACAAATTTACTTAAATACTCGCTACGCTCGCAGGCATCAGCCTGCCTCCTTCCTTTGTCAATATATAAGCCATACCAACAATTTCTATAACCATCCTCAAGGGTAGTAGAAACACCCATGAAAGAGAACATTAAAACATAAGAAAAGTAGAATGAAACAGATACATAAGTACTCATTGTTCACCAACATCACCACTGCATTAAAATTACCAACACCAACATACCATTACACAAACATCACATGAAAAGAAAAAAAGGGACTTCATTGCATTAGAAAAAAAGATTCAATCCATGAAACAGATACATACTACTCATTATTCACAACTTGATTGCATCAAGAAATAACTACAGAGTTCACCCTCAAGCAACAATTAAAACAAGCCACAACATAGTTCACCCTCAAGCATCAAGAAACAACTACTCAGTGCTTTTACACTGCAACAATTACAACTTCTACTTAAAGAGATACATCAACAACCATGAAACAATTAAAACAAGCCACAATATCTTCTCCCTGCGACGTCCACGACATAGGTCACCCTCAAGCATGCTCACTCGTTTCACAAGGCCAGGAATAATTTGTCGAGCCCTTGCACAAATCGGTGGATCAATCCAACAACAGTATGTACAACCTCCAACTTCCTAGTTATCAAGAAAAGGGAAAATCCATCACCAATTTCAAGCTTACAAAAATAGGAGAAAAAAATAATCATACAGAAATGTGAAAATAAATATAATTGGAATAAAAATTAGGAGTTTCAATAAAATTTTAAAAATGTGAAGGTTTTCAACATCTCTGATAAGCAAATTGGACTTACCCGAAACTTCTCGCAAGTTGAGTAGCGTCTTCCTGGATTCATGTCGGTCCAAGAAGTCTTCTTCACAGCGCTCTTCCCACAATGACAAAAATCATCCATAATAAATTCGGATGTTTGTGTCCACATGATTTCACTTCTTCACAGCACTCTTCTTCACAGATTTTGAAGGGATTTAGAGGGTCGAAATTTGGGAATTTCGGAGCTGAGTTCTGAGAGATTGAATGTTAGGGTTTAAAGAACGAAGAAATAGGTAATTTGGGGCATGAATTGACAGAGATTTAAACAGATGGTCAATAGGGGATGCTGGTGAAAAAAAACGTAAAGTTCAGGAGGTATTTAGATGTAAAATAATGTTGAGGAGGCAAAGTGAAAAAAACCGTAAAGTTTAGGAGGCAAATAAAAATTTTCTCTTTTTCTTATGATCCAAGTCCGACACCCGCTCTCATATTATCTCTCCGGAAACAATTCGGTGTAATATATTGATTTTGTAGGGCCGAATTTTCTTCTTTCACTTATTAGAGGTGGCCAGTGTCAACCCGGACCCGACCAGGATCTATGGGTCCGGGGACCGGACTCTTACCACCGACGGGCTGGTTTCGGGTTTTAGTTTTGTTATTATTAACCCGTCGGTTTGAGCCGAGTCCCGGCCGAAAACGGGTCCCGATTTACCCCTTTTTTGTTGGGCCAGGTCAGGTCAGATCGGGTCGACCGTTGGGACCCGAGACGACCAGATTAAGTCTAGATCGTCAGATCAATGTGACCGTTGAATCTAAAAAAAATCCCCTAAAAAACACCTATAAATACCCTCCACCCCAACTCATTTCCCCCATCCCATTGTGCTAACAATCTCTCCTCTCCCTCAATTCTGCTTTAAGTGTTCAGTTTTGAGTTTTTGAGCTCATTTTGCAAGAAAATCGATCCGATTATATAATTTCGGTTCTAAATTTCTTGTCTATATATTCTTTATAATTTTGGTTCCGGTTCTATAAATTTACTCGCATTTATATCATTTTTCATGTCTTTCTTTTTTTTTTCTATAACTTATTCTTGAAATTACAAAATGCCGAGCTCCTGTGGTGATCGTGACTCGGGCTCCGGACAAAAGCGTAAAAGTAGCGGCGCATCTTTTTCAAGACCTCCATTGCCGACAATGGCGAGGCCGTCGATACATTTGGATGTTTTCGGTGTAGGCAATGATATTGATGTCGAGACGATCGAACGCATATTTGGGTCCATTGAAGATATCCAAGATGCCGTACACGAGGAGAACGAGCAAGGGCAGCAGCAGCCGTATCACGATGATTTGGATGATATATTAGGAGGTCAAGGGACTCCAGAGCCTCAACAGCAGATGCAGGCGCACCCGAGCCCGGCCTCCGGCCATGGGGACGATCGTGGCAATCAATCGAAATGTCGAGGTCCGACATATTTGAACGACATTACACAAAGGAGCCCAATTTAGAAAAAAGTGAGAATCACTTTTTTGTTGTTTGCAACTACTATCCGGGCAACTCCAAGAAGACGTACGCTTTCAAAAGAGGCGATGGGTACGGAACGTTGAACCGACACATAAGGAATTATCATCCGACAAAGTTGGGGATTGACACGGCACAGACGCAACTCCCGAGTAGCAGCACTGCATCCGCCACGATTGGTTCAGGTACGCCTTCTTTATTTCATTACTCGCATGATAATCATAGACGTCATTTAGCCTAATTTGTTTCTGTTTCATCTCTGCTTTTTAGTTTTGTTGATAGTGATTTGTATGAAAATTTTACTCAATTGGATCCACGTTTTACTCTTACTCGCGATAATTGAAAATTTGTGGGTGAAAAAAAATTAATTTTGTAACAAACTTTTGAATCTTTAAACCATAGAGTATTCATTTGTGCTGATATTTGGTCCGATCATGGACAAAATAACTTCAATCTAGGAATTGTTTGTCATTGGATAGATGATAGTTGAACTTTACAAAAATGTTTAATAGGTTACGTTGAATTTCTTGAAAGACACACTGCTTCTAATATCACTCGTTTAATTTCTAAAAAGGATAAATATAAAATTGGTAAAAAAGTGTTTTCCCTTTCGTTTGATAATACTAGTGCCAATACTGCATCTATACGTGAGCATACTGAAATTTGTACTCCCATTTGTTTGTGGGGGAAGATTTTTTCATATTCATTGTATATGTCATGTCTTAAATCTTTGTGTGCAAGCTAGTTATCATGCTTTTAAAGACTCAGTCACGCCCATCAGGGACGTCGTTAATTATTTACATAAATGTCCCCATGAAATAAAAGAATGGTTTAAATTGTGTAAATTTCAAGGGTTTAAACTTAAAAAATTCTAATCGGACGTTCCTAAATGGTGAAACTCAACATATAAAATGTTGAGTGACACAACTGAGTGAATGGCGTAATTGGAGCATTTTTTAAGAGTCCTAAACGTAAGGACTATGACGCCCGACTTACTTCGTTTGATTGGGTGAACTCTAATGCACTTATTCAATTTTTAGGAACATATCAAAATGCTACTAACATACTTTCTGGTGTTTACTATCCTACTACTCAACTTGTGTTAAGTCAATCTAATAGTCATAATGTGGCATTTTAAAGATCTTTATAAAGGATTCTATTAAATGGCAAATTAGCAAGAGACATGTTAAGAAAATAGTTAAATTTTATTATTTCATTCTCGATACATTTTTAATTGTATGTTTGTTATATCATTCAGTACGTGAAGTTGGCTTGATAAGGCAGCTTAACATGTACTATGATATTATGTGTTAACTCCCAATTTCGACCGATGTCCCGATATACAGTAAAAAACCTAACGTACAGCTGCTCGCCAAGCAAGCAAAGAATTTATTTTATGATTTGTTTTGGGAAACAACAATCTGACTCGGGGAATCTCCGAACTCATTTGTTGATGGCACCGACGCCGGAAGTGGGTCTTCTTCTTATGGAGGACAATGGGAGACACAGGAAGCCACAACAACAATTGCATTTTCTAGAATTTCTTGCACAAAGTGATAGTGAACATCAATGTGCTTTGTTTTTATATGAAATAGTTGATTATTGGCTAAGTGAATAGTGTCCCGACTATTACAATACAGTATGATGTTCCTTTGACTAACTCCCAAGTATTCAAGTAAACTTTAAAGTCAAATTATCTCCTTCACAACTTCAGTGATCACCATATACTCTAGACAAAGCAACCGTTGATTGTAAAGTAGAATTCCAACTAATTGGAGCTTTTGCAAGAGTGAACAAGTATCCAGTAGTTAATCATCATTTATCCAAATCACTCACATAGTCAGAATCACAATATTCAACTACACATTGACCAATTTCATCTTGTTCATAAACTATTCGAATGTCTACATATTATTAAT